AATTGGGGAATTTCCCAAAATCGCCGTTTTTTGCCCCGTTCAGGCTGGCCCAGCACGTCACCTACGTGCACCAGCACAGCCGGGAGCCGCCCAGCGCCTTCCGGCCCCTGGACATGAAACTCATGAGGTGGGTGCCACCCAAAACCCGCCCTTTTCACCCCAAAATTCACATTTTTATCCCAAATTCACCTTTATCAACCCAAAATTCACTTTTATAACCCCAAAATGCGCCTTTTTAGCCCCAAAATTCACCTTTATAACCCCAAAATTCACCTTTTCACCCCAAATTTCACTGTTTTGTCCCCTGACCTCCCCAGTTCCCCCCCCAGAATTCCCGATTTTCCCAAATCTGCTGTTTTTCGCCCCATTTCAGTCTGTTAATAATTTAAATTTCCCAAATCTGCCGTTTTTCGCCCCAAACCAGTCTGTCAATAATTTAAACTCCTGGATTTTTCCAAACCCGCCGTTTTTCTCCCCGAACCATTCTCTCCATAATCTGAATTCCCTGATTTTCCCAAACCCGCCATTTTTCGCCCCGTTTCAATCTCTCAGTAATTTAAACCCCCTGATTTTCCCAAACCCGCCGTTTTTCTCCCCAAACCATTCTCTCCATAATCTGAATTCCCGGATTTTCCCAAATCCTCCATTTTTCTCCCCAAACCATTCTCTCAGTAATTTAAACCCCCCGATATTCCCAAACCCGCCGTTTTTGGCCCCAAACCATTCTCTCCATAATCTGAATTTGCGGATTTTCCCAAATCCTCCATTTTTCGCCCCGTTTCAGTCTCTCAGTAATTTAAACCCCCCGATTTTCCCAAATCCTCCGTTTTTCTCCCCAAACCATCCTCTCCATAATCTGAATGTGCGGATTTTCCCAAACCCGCCGTTTTTCTCCCCAAACCATTCTCTCCATAATCTGAATTTGTGGATTTTCCCAAACCCGCCGTGTTTCTCCCCAAACCATTCTCTCAGTAATTTAAACCCCCTGATTTTCCCAAACCCGCCGTTTTTCTCCCCAAACCATTCTCTCCATAATCTGAATTTGCGGATTTTCCCAAACCTGCCGTTTTTGGCCCTGAACCATTCTCTCCATAATCTGAATTTGCAGATTTTCCCAAATCCTCCATTTTTTGCCCCGTTTCAGTCTCTCAGTAATTTAAACCCCCTGATTTTCCCAAACCCGCTGCTTTTCTCCCTAAACCATTCTCTCAGTAATCTGAATTTCTGGATTTTCCCAAACCTGCCATTTTTCGCCCCGTTTCAGTCTCTCAGTAATTTAAACCCCCCGCTTTTCCCAAACCCGCCGTTTTTCTCCCCAAACCAGGCGCTACCTGTCGGCGTGCCGCCGGCGCTGCCCGCGCGTGCCGGAGGCGCTGGGCGAGTTCCTGACGGCCGCGTACGTGGAGCTGCGGCGCGAGCGCGGCCCCGGCCTCTACACCTCTGCCAGGACCCTGCTGGCCGTGCTGCGCCTGGCCACGGCCCTGGTAATGTCCNCTCTACACCTCTGCCAGGACCCTGCTGGCCGTGCTGCGCCTGGCCACGGCCCTGGTAATGTCCACTGACCCCTGGTGACCAGCACTGACCAGCACTGACCAGCACTGACCATCCCTGACCAGCACTAACTAGTACTGACCAGTACTGACCAGCACTGACCAGCACTGACCATCCCTGACCAGCACTGACCAGCACTGACCATCACTGACCAGTACTGACCATCACTGACCATCCCTGACCAGTACTGACCATCCCTGACCAGCACTGACCATCACTGACCATCACTGACCAGCACTGACCAGCACTGACCAGTACTGACCAGCACTGACCA